TGATCCTCTTGCCTCAGCCTCCTGAACAGGTGGGATTATAGGCATGTTCCACCACACTTTGTGGCTCTGATAGGCTTATTGAGAAAGAAAATATCTCCCTCTATCTGCACCTGCTCCAAAGAAAGGCCATATAAGGAAGTGGAAAACAAGGAAGGGGACCCTCAACAAAAACTTCTGGTCTTTGATCAGGGACTTTCAGCCATCAGAATTTTGAAAAATAAATTTCTGTTGTTAAAGACACCCAGACTGTGGTATTTTATTCTGGTAGCCCAAACTGCCTAACACATGGGACTTTATTCCAACAATGCAAGGCTGGTACAATGTTTGAAAAATCAATTAATGTTATTCATAATATTAATAGGTTAAAGAAGACAAATCACATAATCATATTATTTGACACAGAAAAAGTATTTGACAACATCCAGTGTCTATTCATGATAAAACTACAACAAATTAGCAGAGGTGAAATTTCTAAACTTGATAAAGAAAATTTATTTAAAAAAACCCTATAGTTAACATCAGACTGAAAAACTGAAAGATTGACTGTTTTCCCCCTAAGATTGGAAACAAGGGAAGGATGTCTGCTCTCACCACTGTTATTCAGTATGTTATATTGGAAGTTTTAGTTACTGCAATAGGCAATAAATAAAATAAAAGGTAAAGAGATTGATAAGGCAGAAGGAGAACAATCCTTATTTTGGGGTGACATGATGGTCTACATAGAAAAATTTTAAGGAGCTGCATACAGCGGCACACACCTGTAATCCCAGTGACTTGGGATGCTGAGGCAGGAGGTTCACAAGTTCAGCCTGGGCAACATAATGCGACCTTGTCCCAAAATAAAAACCAAAAAGGGCTGGGAGTCTAACTCTGTGATAAGAGTGTCCCTGGGTTCAATCCCTTGTACTACAAAAATCAAAAGAAAAAAATAATAAAAACAAAACTACATAATTCAGCCCGGTTGTAGGAATATAAGATGAATGTACAAAAATTCACTGTAATTGTACATACTAGCAATGAACATATGGAAACTGAAAATTATAATTACAATACCATTAAATATTGCTCAAAAATTAACATTTAATTTAAATCTAGCAAAACATACAGGACTTGTTTGCCGTAAACTACATAATGCTGATGAAAGAAATCATAGAAGATCTAAATAAATGAGAAATTAGAAGGCTTGACATTGTAAAGATGTCAGTTTTCACCAAATGTTATATAGGTTTAACTCCTATGAAAATTCAGCAAGGTTTCTTATAAAAATTAAAACAGCCACAGCAATTTTGAAAAATGAAGAATAAAGTGGGAGAAATCAACTCATATGATTTTGAAACCAGACCTAAACCTTACATCGTATACAAAATTTATTCAAAATGGATTATGCATTTCAATGTAAAAATATAAAACTATAAAACTCTGTTATGTGTGTGTGGTGCTGGGGAATGAACCTAGGGCCTTATGCATGTCAGTCAGTCATAAGTCAGTTTTATGCATCCCCAGCCCTAAAACTGAAATTCATAAAAAATAGGAGAAAATCTTTGGGATACACAGATAGATGAGGAGTTCAAAGAGATGACATTAAACACACGATTTAAGCTGGGGACAGTGGTGTAGTAATCCAAGTTACTTAGTAGGCTGAGGCAGGAGGATTGCAAGTTTGGGGCCAGCCTTGGGAACTTAGCAAGATCCTGTCTCAAAAATAAATCAATGAAAAGGGCTGGAAATGTAGCTCAGTGGTAAAGCACCCCTGGGTTAAATCTCCAAGACAAAAAAATTAAATAAACACTCCAATTACAAAATGGGCCAAAGATATGAAAATACATTTCACCAAAAGGATATATGGGGCTGGGGTTGTGGCTCAGTGGTAGAGCGCTTGCCTCGCACATGTGAGGTACTGGGTTCGATCCTCAGCACTGCATAAAAGTAAATAAATAAAATAAAGGTATTGTGTCCATCTACAACTAAAAAACATTTTTAAAGGATATATGGATGGGAAATTAGGAAACTCTGTCAAAAACCTAGACTTGGGGGCGTAAGTGCATGCTTATAAAACCAGTGACTTGGGAGGCTGAGGCAAGAGGATCTAAAGTTTGAGGCTAGCCTGGCCTCGGAAACATAGCAAGATCATCTCTAAAAATTAAAAAAATTTAAAGGATTGGGAATAAAATTTAGTGTTAAAGTGCCTCTGGGTACCAAATAACAACAACAATAACAAAAACAACAATAACAAAAACAACAACAACAAAAAAATACCCTAAAGACTTAGATCGTGTCTGTAAAAGGCCTGTTTTGGAATAACTGCACAGCATGGGGCAAAATAAATGGTCTAAATATAGATAGTACTCAAAAATGTTAACTGATCCAGGTGTGGTGGCGCACGCTTGTAATCCCAGTGGCTCAGGAGCTGAGGCAGGAGGACTGAGAGTTCAAAGCCAGCCTCAGCAATAGCAAGGCGCTAAGCACTCAGTGAGACCCTGTCTCTAAACAAAATCCAAAAAAAAAAAAAAATAGGGCTGGGATGTGGCTCAGGGTGGAGTGCCCCTGAGTTCAATCCCTAGTATTCCCCACAAAATGTTAACTGAACTTATTTGCTTTTGAAGATTAAATGAAGTAATATTAAAAACTAATTCTTCATCAATGTTCTAATATCATTTCATACCATACAGATTTTTCACATTTTATTAGTGAATTTTAATTATGCAGAATAATGGGTTTCATTGTGACATTATATGTGCAGAAAAATTTTGATCATACTCATCTCCCCCTCCCCCAATCCCCTCTTCTTCTCTAATTGTCTCTGTTTTTCAAGTTGTCTTTCTTTTTTCCCCTAGAGCCTACATATGAGGGAAAACATGTGATACTTGTTTTTGAGTCTAGTTTACTTCTTTTAACATTATGATCTTCAGTTTCATAATTTTCCTGCAAATGACATGATTTCATTCTTCTTTATGGCTGAATAATATTCCATTGTGTATATATGACACACTTTCTTTATCCATTCATCTACTGATCAGCATCCTAGGCTGATTCTATACCTAGGATATTGTAAATTGTGAGATGAAAGGCCTGAGTCTGCAGGTATCTCTATAGTATGTTAACTTTAATTCCTTCAGGTATATACCCAGGAGAGGTATAACTGGATCATATGGCTAAAAACAATACATTCTACCTAGCAAGTGCAACCAGGTCCAAATTTCATTAAGGAATTTAATATGATCAATAATTTAATATTCTGCTTTGTCCAATTAAAATTAAGGGTTCATATGACAGGGAAAGAACTATGGGAAATAGAAGAGATTCAGCAAAAATTCATGGCACTTAAAATGGTTAAGTATTCTGAATTCTCAGGACAAATATTATAGCACCAAAGTCTCATATGAATTAAGGAGTGCATCTCTCTCCTTGTGAGAGAAGGCTAACTCTTTCAGTCTCTAAATTTAGTCTTTTCTAAACTGTTGCTCTATTCTTGTTACCTGACTTATTTGATAGATATTATTTTTTTGTGTGTGGTGCTAGGGATTGAACCCAGGGCCTTGTGCATGCAAGGCAAGCAACTCTACCAAGTGAGCTATATCCCCAGCCTGATAGATACTATTTTTAAAGTGGTACAATGGACATCTTCCATTTAAGTTGAAAAATTAAAATCACTGCCATTGTACAGATAATTGATATTGACTTGGAGTGTCAATGGAATGGGGATTGTTAGCTCAGCACCAGGGCTGCTACAGTTGTACAAAAATACAGACAGCAAAGACAAGAAAATGCTCAACTCTTGTGTTCATTCATGATGCTATTCTGATTTTTAGGAGGGAGGAGAAAGTGTTGATGATGAACTAGTGAGGCATGGGACATGTTTTGAGCAAGGCTCTGAAGCTTTCTTTAACAGAATGTGGATAGCCTCTTGTGGGAGGGACAGCCTGGGCCCTGGTTTCTAGAAGTGATTCAACAAGCAGTTCTGGAGGATAAAACCTGGTGCTGAGAGCAGAAAATTCAAGGATGTTTATCTCTGTCCTTTAAGAACCTAACGTGGTAGAAACAGATCTACAATGAGATCAACTATTTCTCATAGTAACTAGCAGGTCCTACCAGCCCCTCTACCTGAAGCTGTATGATCTACTTATTCATTTCTTCATTCACTCAAACTTTTAAAAAAATTTTTGTAAATATTTATTTTTAGTTGTAGTTGGACACAATACCTTTTATTTATTTATTTATATGTGGTGCTGAGGATCGGCCTTGCACATGCTAGATGAACGCTCTACAACTGAGCCACAACCCCAGCCCTCATTCACTCAAACTTATATTTAATATTTCACTTCATAATAGCCATTATGTGAAGCATTGGGAACACAAAGACAAGTAAGACAAATGGCTTCCCAAAGTAGCCATTATTTCTGAGGAGCTGAATTTATACTTTTTCTGGCAGAAAAGTCCTTTTCTTTCCACAAAACCAAAGACCACTCATACTTCAACTTCTTCTCAAGTCTTTGCAAATGAAGGCCATATGCTTATAGTCAATCCAATTATTCCAATACTCCCCTTTCATTTGGGCTTATGCATTTTAGAAACTGTAGGCTTTGGCCCTCTATTGATGCCATCACTATGATGACCCTATTATATGAAGCAACTTCCCAAGGGAAAGTTATTAACTAATGCTCTATTTCTCTAATAAATGCTATTGAATATTGACTAATAAATGCTATTGAATATTGAATCAGACTTGAAAATCTTGCTCTTCAAAACCCTACCATCATTTCAGATTGAATTTCCAACAGTTTCATCCTATGAATGGGCTTGCATTATGTTCTTGAACAAATGAGTTTTACTTTAACTACAGATCCACCATGACCTGGTATAATGTATCTTAGTGAATTGGTAAGCATGTTATGTGACTTTGCATTATGTATGTGTAATTAGTCACTCTTTCTCCCCAAGCAGCATACAAATAACATTAAAAGCATTAATTCCCTAAGTCAAAGGTACAAGCATGCAAATACCTGACAGAAGGCTGTGGAATACTGTCTGGACTGGCTGGTACCTGGACTCCCTTTTCCCATTCTTCTTTCCACGTGTCCGAAAAGAGATAATAGCTGTCAGGATTGACGTGATGAGAATCTGGAATTTTCATGGCACTGATGAGGTCCTTCCGGAATACCTGGGAAGATATTGCACATGCCTTGAGAAGTTAGTTCATAACTATGGAACTAATACCATTTAATGTTCTCCTTTTATTTTTGTATTTTAGGAACTGTGATTAAACCCAGGGGCCCTTTACCACTGAGCTACATTTCCAAGCCCTTTTAATTTTTAAAATTTGAGACAGGGCCTCACTATGTTGCTTAGGGTCTTGTTAAGTTGCTGAGGTTGGCATCAAATCTGTGATCTTCCTGCTTCAGCCTCCCAAGTTGCTGGGATTATAGGTACAAGCCACCACACCCAGCTAATATTCTCCTTTTAAAAAGGCCATCCCATGTCCTACTTCCTAAATAGTCAGACCAACTTCTGTTTGAAAAGTTTTGAAGAACTGAAGGGTAGCTAAGCTTTTTTGGACTTAATAAAGAGTAAAGGAGTCATTCCTGAATTATTTTCTTGGGCTTATTAAATTTAGATTAACAATATAAATTACTCTAAGACAGTTTGCATCAAATAATCCTTAACTCTCTTAAACTAAGAAACAAATATTAACTGATAACTTATATTTGTTTATTTGGCCATTGGCTCATTTACTTAGAAATAATTCTACACCTATAGAAACATTACAAAAACAGTACAGTGTTCCTGTACATCCTTCATTTAGTTTTGTCTAATATTAACATTTTAAATAATCCAAGTACAATGAGCCAAACAAGGAAATTAACATTGCAATACTACTAACTAATCTATAAATTTTACTCAAATTTCACTAGTTTTCCCTTCAATGTCCTTTTGTTCTAGAATTCAACCTAAGACCTTACATTGTAATAGTCATATATCTCTTGGTATCCTCCAATTTGTAAATTTCTCAGTCTTTTGTCTGTCATAACTTTGACATTTGATGAATATTGATGATGTATTTTGTAGTATATCCTCCCAACTGGGGATTGTCTGATGTTTTCTCATGATAGATTGAGGTTCTATACTTTGTGCAAGAATACCACAGAAATAAAGAGTCTTCAATCCATTATTACATCAGGAATGTATGATGTTGATGTGTTATTTCTGGTGATGTTAAACTTGGTCATTGGTTCAGGTAGTGTCTTGTTGGTTTCCTCCAGTGTTAGGTTACTATATTTCCCTTTGTAATTAAATACCTTAGAGAAGATAATTTGAGACTATATTCTGTTTTTCCTCAAATTGCCATGGACTAACTTTAGAGTCCATTGGTAGATATCTTGCCTCCAACAATTATTACTATGGTGTTCTAATAGTGATTTTCTATTTTCATCACTTCCTTTATTCATGGAAATCTCTCTATAGTGGAGATCTGCCAATTCCTCATTTATTTGTTCAATTATTTATTTAAATCATTACAGATTCATGAATATCTAACTCTTTGGGTATTAATATTTTCTTATTTAAATTATTCCACCTGTGGCCACAGGGTGCTTTTTCAGATTGGCACTTGTGCAATTTTGACATCTAAGGCTCTGAAATAATCTGATTTCATAGGTACCAAATACTGGGATTATTTGGTACCTATGAAATAATCTGGACCTAGTGCCATTTTTGTGGGGGTAGTTCCTTAATAATTCTGTCTACTTCTGTGGGAATTGCCCTTTTAAAGCTCATTACCTCTAATGGGGTCAATTTTGGTAACATGTATTTCCACAGGAAATTATCTATTGTATCTAGGTTTTCAAATTTATTTGCATAGTGGCCTGTAAAGTACAGGCAGTCACACTGTGCACAGCAATGTGGGATCATAAAAATGATAATGCTGAAACTATGAAAAGAAATATTATTTGTTTGATGCCAGGGATTGAATCCTGAGCCTTGTGCATGCAAAGCATGTGCACTACCACTGAGTTGCACCCCAACCCTATTAATTTTGCCATTAATAATTAATGGAAAAATTATGATTGTTTTGTGACTTCTAAACATTTTGTCAAAACATCAGAAACTTTTTTAGTGCTACTATAATATATATAGAAATAAAAAAATAGAATTGATATTTAACATACTATAATTAAAACAGAAAAACATTGAGAATCGAAGTATTTTATTTCTCTGTAGACAAACTTATGAAGACTATGTTGAGCCAGGCACAGTGGTGTGTGCCTGCAATCCCAGCTACTTGGGTGGCAGAGGCAGATAGGTCACAAGTTCAAGGCCAGCCTTCACAACTTAATGAGACCCTGCCTCATAAAACAAAAGGGGCTAGAGATGTAGCTCAGAGTTAGCTTGCCTTGCATGTGCAAGGCCCCAGGTTCAACCCCCAATACTATACAAAAATAGATTGAATAATACTTGCCTCCTTCTCATTTTATATAACTTATTAGAGAAGGCATCTGAGCTGTAATATTTTATTGTCACTACTTTAAAAAATCTATAATTTCAGTTTATATTTCACCATTTCACCTAAGAGTTGTTTTAACAAGTTTTAAAACTTTCCATGTGGAAGGATCTCTTTTTTTAAGTAACTGTTGATTTTACTGTAGTGTGGTTTATAATATTATAAACAACAATGTTGTTTATAATATTACTACATAATGGAAATTACTGATGTTTTCTTTATGAAAATATTTGATTTTATTTTGTATATATATCATAAGCATGTGAGAAAGCATATTTTCTGTTGTATCTAATATCAAGGTATATAACTGGACAGATCTTCATCAGATCTTTCCTGCCTATGTTGCTGATTTATTTTTTTGTTTACTTAATCTGTCTGATACTTTGAGAGGTGCTTTTAAAGTCTCCTATGAGTAGTATGTCTCTGTTTTTTGGATCACCTGTATATTCTGTTTCATAAAGATAGTTGCTGTGTTATTCAGTGCAAAAATATTCCTAAGCACATTTTCATGGTGAATTTTAGATTTTAGCACTGAAATGTCTCCTTCTTTTTCTTTGGGGCTTGAATTCTACTTGGTCTGATATCAGGGTCACTACTCCTGATGTTTTCATTTCCATTTTCCTGGTATATTATTGTCTATCTCTTATATTTTTAGCCTTTCTGAATAGGTGTTTTAGGTATGCTGTTATATACATCATACAGTTGGGGTCTCATTTTGTGAGCCACATGAAAATACTTTTCTTTAATAAGTGTTAAGCCTATTCATATCTATTGGTATGATTCATTTGTTTGGTTTTAACTCTATCGTATTTTAAATTATATATATTATATTTTCTACACTTCTTTGTCTACCAGTTTTGTATTCCTTATGTATATTTTAAAAATTTGTAGTGTCATTCTAGTTGTTATCTTTATACTTAGAAATTTAAAAAATGTCCTTAATCTCATCTTTTTTAACTGTTTACTATCAGGTTTACCAGTTTTTATCACTATCAGTGAATACCTCAGGGGCAAGGAGATAGAAATAAATGTACTGTGGCAGCCAAGAGGCTCACAGTGATAGCCCCAAATTCACTCCTTCCAGGGAACTATAACTGTGTGGAAAGTTCAAATGTTAGAGGTAGGGATAATGACAAATGTGTATGTATGGAGCTACAATTCAGACTATAACTGATACTCTGGTTACACAGATCTCTGAGTGACTAAACTGCCATAGAAGCCTCAGCTTTCTGATTCTGTTTTTTCAGCAACTGAAAGAGAGTATATCATAGATTATTAAGCTAACTTGGCAATGATTTCCGTGATGATGGCCCAGTTAACATCTAAGTAATAAGGGAATACATTTTCACATGGAAGCATGTATGCATTGATCAATACTTCACTTACTAATTTCTACTATTAAAAAACATTAATACTTGCAGGTTGAAGATAAATGTGTCCACATTTCTGAAAAATCAAAGGAAGAGATGCTATCAAGCAAACATTTTAGCCTTTAATGCTTATCAAGGTTTTCTAAGGAGACCCACTCACCAAGTTCTATGTAACATGAACGTAGAAACACAGAGTATGATCTAATAAAGCAATTAATTCTGAGGAAGTGCAGTTCTGTTTAAACTGATATCGTTTCACACAATATAGGATTGAATTATCATATAATCAAATGATGCCATTTAAATGAATAAAAGATCATTTCATTTACTACTTTGCAGGGGACAACTCTGCAAATGCTTGTTTATTTCACTTAGGGAAGATTTAAAATAAATATGACCACAGCAAAGTAGAGAAGGAAATCTACCTTGAACATGTAAATGGCCAAGGGGCAACAAAATGACCTTCCTACCAGGAATCCTGGCCAATTAAAGTTAACTGAGTGCTGCAAAGGGAGAAATCTAAGTCTACAGGAAACAAACACTGGTGGTTTATTACATAATGCTTTGTTTAAGTGGGTAAATCACAGACATATTCATTTAACATGTTCTGCAGAGAGCTCAGTGTTCTGAGTGACTAGCAGGAGACACTGACTCATCATTATGCTGAACACTCCAATCTATTTCTATAAATTACTGTTAATGAGCCAGTGGTTAAGTAGTGATGGCAATTTACAATTGTACTAAACTAATGTCTGGGAAAATGACAGTGCTGTGGCAAATTCTACCTTAGATCTGGAAAGACTATGAAAGACAAATATTTATTAACACCCCAAAATATTTCATTATTTTCCAAGTGATACTCTACAAACTAAATCAACTAATTATAATATCATGCTTTGGGCTTAGTAATGCCATACCATCTAATCACAAAACAAACAGACATATCTTAACAACTAACATGTCTGCTTATTAATTTCTGTTCTATAAAAATGTTTTCTGAGTAGCCTAGAAACATATAATAATGGGTTGAATGGATATACACAAAAGGTATGTTTATATCTTAATTCCCAGAACCTGTGGATGTTACTTTATTTGGGAAAAGGGTCTTTGTAGATGTTATTAAGTTATGGATCTTGAGATGAAGACATCATTCTGGGATATCTGGGTGGACTCTAAATGGAATGATAAGTGTCCATATAAGGAAAAGGCAGGGGGAAATCTGAGGCAGTGATTGAGTGATGCACTGATCAACAAATCAATGAATGCTACCAGCTTCCAGAAGCTAGAAGAGGC